GCAAACCTTGTCAACTACTTTACAGCACAGTAACTTCAATGATCCTTATTATTGATCTTGATTTGAAGCCAAAGAGATTAAATAAATGTGACTTTTTTTTTATTGATTAATGCATTTAAACTGGCGAGCGTAGGATTAAAGGTGGATATGGGTGGAGGATATCGTTGGCTTTGGCGGGGGTTCCAGCGCTGATGCTAACATTTGGGTCCCTGCTGGTGCATGACACTCCCAACAGTCTTATTGAGAGGGGTTTCGAGGATGAAGGGAAGGCCGTGCTGAAGAAGATTCGTGGTGTGGAAAATGTTGAACCAGAGTTTCAGGAGATCCTTAAAGCCAGTAAAGTGGCTAAAACGGTCAAGAGTCCCTTCAAGAACCTCATCAAGCGCCACAACCGTCCTCCATTGATCATTGCCGTTATGTTGCAGGTCACAGCTAACTTCTATGTTTATATATATGTTCCAAAGAATATTTACATGAGTCCTAGATTACTTTCACAATTTCATATGCTTTCTTAGAAAGTACTTTAAATTTTTCTTTTCGGTAGGTCTTCCAACAATTCACCGGCATCAATGCGATCATGTTCTATGCTCCAGTGTTGTTCAGCACCTTGGGCTTTAAAAGTGATGCTTCCCTGTACTCGGCTGTGATCACAGGAGCCGTGAATGTGTTCTCCACGTTAGTGTCTGTCTATTTTGTGGACAAAGTTGGTCGGAGGATATTGTTGTTGGAAGCATGTGTCCAAATGTTTGTGTCTCAGATGGTGATTGGCCTAGTGCTAGGGTTGAAGGTCCACGACTACTCGGAAAGCTTGAGCCAAGGGTTTGCGGTGCTGGTGGTGGTGATGGTTTGCACATTTGTGTCATCCTTTGCATGGTCTTGGGGTCCCCTCGGGTGGCTCATTCCCAGTGAAACGTTCCCACTGGAGGCTAGATCGGCAGGGCAAAGTGTGACGGTGTGTGTGAATATGATCTTCACATTCATTATTGCACAGGGTTTCTTGTCCATGCTGTGCCACTTCAAGTTCGGGATCTTCTTCTTCTTCTCGGCTTGGGTGCTTGCCATGTCCTTATTCACAGTGTTTCTAATTCCAGAGACTAAGAATGTACCCATTGAAGAGATGACAGAGAAAGTTTGGAGAAACCATTGGTTCTGGAAGAGTTTTATGGAAGATTGATTTCAGGGCACCAGAGAAACAAAATTAAATGAATCATAAAGGAGTTACCAGAATTGTATATCAAGAAAAACCTATAGAAAAAATCCTTCTTATAATAACAAAATATTATTTGTAACTAAATTTGAGTGAATTATATATATAAAAAAATCTGCATGCCTCATTTTTTAACATAAAAATCGTCAAGTGAACTAAAGATTTATATCACATTATTAATAAACTTAAATCATGTTTAAAAGTTTGATGGAGGAGAGTCTCGGGAAAATCAATCAATTTGGTCCAATACATAGCCTACTAGACTAAGTTTAAAAAAATGCACGAAACTAAAAAAGTCCGCATAAGAAAAAACTCCTAGAGTCAAAATATTTGCAAAATCTTATGGAACAAGGTAAATTCTCCGACTATTTCTTTGAAGAAAAGAATCACTTTAAAATTAATTTTTCAAAAAATATTTACCTTAAAAATACTTTTATATTCATAAACATAATTACTTTAAACTTTAACTATTTATAACATATTTTAATTTAAATTATGATATAATATAATTTATTACAAGTTTAATTAATAAAAAAATCAGTTGAGTGTTTTATCAATCATTATATTAAACTCTTCATTGATAACTTTTTAGGAGTTTTTAAATTTTTTTGTCGCTTTCAAGCCATATAGAGCAATAATTTATATTAAAATGTAACTTTTTTGTTTATCATAAGTCTAAGAAACAACTTATTTATACAAATAATTATTTATAAATTTTAATTATAACTATATTTTATATCAAACGAATGTTTTTGGATATGTGTACTAATTAATAATAATAAATATTTTTTAACATGTAAATATATTTATGATATAATAAATACTTTGTATTGCAATATAATGTTACTTTTTATTATAAAATATTAAAATTAAATTAAAATACAAACATAAAATTACTATATTCCAAGGAATGGATGTTAAAAAGTTCTTTTCCAACAAATATCGTTTTGTTAAATAATAATTGTTATAACAATTCAATATATACATTAACCTAGTAATTTAAAATAATATATATAAATAAATAAATGAACGAATGAATGAGAATGAGATTGTGGTAATTTTTTATTCCAAAGAGGTAAAAGGCTCTCCAACTACTCTCTCTAACATTTACGAAAGAAAAAAAGTAAAATGTTAAGGAAGAATGTATGAAGCATCCTCTAAACCTAATCTACATTACCTTATGAAGCTGCCACCCAATCATCAACGAGATTCTCTTCTTGTGAACCATAAAAAGGCATCAGATATTTTTATTTTTAATTATTTTATTTTGCTTATAAAATGTTCATTTGAATATCTTAATTTTTCATCTTCATTCCATTTCTGAGTGAACAATAATACAATTGCCATAGCCAAACTAGGTATCTAAGCTTTATAAATACATGAATGATCTTGAATTTACATTCAAGGTCATGCATGTATCTTTTATGGCCTTGGATATATTGTTTTGGGATATATATTTTTTCTTTCATCCAAAAATAAATTAATGCAAAATGAAGTACAAATATCAATTAATAATAGTAGATAAATAACTAAAACTATTTTTCATCACTTTCCTATCATTCATCCTCACACCATTTCCTTAATCAACCAGCTAGACCCTATTTCTTCAACATAATATTTCTCATTTTATATTCTTATTATTTTTACCTCCTCTTTAAAAATGTAATTAATATGTCAAATCATCTGCTACAAATGGAAGCATGGCTGTGATTTATTTACACACCATGTTGAAATTTTAATTTCCACCATGATGACTCTTATATCTTTGAGCATATAGAAGAGTTAAGTTCAATAATCTATGTTTAGTGTTTAGTGAGAACAACAAATATTAATTTTTTGTGGAAAAAAACTTAATAATGAATATAAAATTTCTTATTATTTATATATTATTTGTAACCGTTTTTTATTTTGTTATTAATATTATTTATAGCAGTGACCAAATTGAAAAAGTGTCACTAACACAAATAATTTATCACTAATATAAAATACTATATCGATTTTTTTCTTTTGATAAGATCATTAAATCAATATAAATTTTGTTAAACCCTTATAAAATAGTGAACTAATGTTATTATCATTGTATATTAATAATTACAAAAATATTTACTTACTTTTTTTTAATAGTTACAAATTATTTTTCACTAATTTGATGTAGATATGTTTGTTATTAAAAAAAACATATTTTGATATAATTTGAATACAATCGTAGTATTAAAATTAATTATATATTTTGAATTAATAGATTATTTTATCATGTTAGTAAATTTATTATTAATGACAAATACTAAATACTATAATTTAAAGCATTTGTATGAATGATAATTTATGAAAAAAATTATATTATTATTATTATTATTATTATAAGATTTTTATTCAATAAGAAAATTCGTTCACAGTAATAAAAGAATATATTAAACTTGTCTTATTCTATATAAGAAGTCGTGACCTCCCTTTTATAAGTCAACTTTGTTTCTCCACCAAACAATTATAATATTTATATAACTAATACATGTATGTACATACATACATTACATTAAACTAATGAAAAATAGTTTATTAAAATTAATTAAAGTATATTATTTTATTATATATAAAAACATGATAAAAATTTATATGATGTTAAAATATATCTATAGTGTATTACCTATCCTTAACTTTTAATTTTATTACTTGACATTAAATACATAACTCGTCTTTATGAATTATTTAATGTTTCCTAAAATTTTTATTATCACCAATTCAAATACAACTAAATCAATACTATTTAAACTACAATTTGTTGGTTTAATTTCTTTTTAAAATTTAATATAGATATTTCTATAATATGCAATAAATAAATAGTATGTTAAAATCATGTACATATTATTTTTTTTATTTTCATTAAGAAATTAATAAAATTTAATATATATTGGTTTAACCAATTTAACTTGTAAAACAATAATTTGATGAATAATCTAGCTTACTAAATAGGAGGTTCAATGGAGAACAAATTATGGTTAGTGAAAAAAATTAATATATAGTAGCAAATTTTCTCTGTTTATATATAGTATAAATATGCTTGTTATTATTAATTAACATGAAAATTTTAATGTTATTCCACACCATGATTTCAAGAATGTGAGTGATACATATCAAGAGAAAATTTCAAAGGCATTTTGATCATTGGTTGAACACTTTATTATGATATTATAGGAAGAAAATCAAATAATTCTTTAATATTTAACTTCAAAATTGAAAATGAAAGTGAAACGTCAAATAATTAACTAATTAGTAGATTTATCATTCTTTGAGCAGTTTAGTAGCTCAAGTACCCCAGTTGCTATGGTAAGCTTAAGTTTAATATTTTGTACTAATTAATATTTTATATCATGACTTATATTATATATTAACATTTCAAAGAAAAATACTATTGTTTTTTTGTACTATTTTAATATTACTTTAATTAATATTATATATTAATATTTTAATATTATGCATTTTAATAAACCTTGTCAATGTATCAATACTCAATACAATGTAATCCACACGGGATAAACTAAAATTTTAAGTATTTGTGAGAGTTGGACATTTCATGAATTAAAGAGACTATTTTTCTAAACCAGTGATATCATTCCGACAAAAGTCATAGAAACACACAATGACAAAAAAAAAATTAAAGAAAGAAAAAGCAAAGTGAAACTCTTTCTCAATGGTTATAAATCAAAGTATGAAGACATGCAAGTGAAAGTAAACATTCTTCACTATCTTGTGTTCATGTGTGTGAGGGTCACAAAAACATTGAAGTGAAATAACTATGACTGGTGGAGGCTTCACAACAAGTGGCAATGATTTTGAGGCAAAGATAACTCCAATTGTCATCCTTTCCTGCATGATGGCTGCTACCGGAGGTCTTATGTTTGGATACGACGTTGGCGTTTCCGGTGATGATCTTCATTCAATTCACTCTTTTATCTGATTCACCTTTTCAGCATGTTTTCTTGAACTTAACATGATCTTACTAAATTTGAAAAAAACAAAAGAAATTACATTTTCGATCTTACCAAGCGACTCTAATTTCTTGTAGTATTTGACGTATAAGTAGCTTTGGAATATGTATATTTAAAGGAGTAAAAACATGAAAAAGAAAGAAAACGAGAGGAGGTTTAGGGTATTTCACTTCTATCTTTAAAACATATTTTAATTATGTTGCTGTTGGTTCCATGATGTTTGGTTTTTGGTGATTTGAATTAGGTGGTGTGACATCGATGCCACCGTTCCTGAAGGAGTTTTTTCCGGAGGTGTACAGAAAGACAGTGGAAGAGAAAGAGGTGGCGAGCAACAACTACTGCAAATACGACAATGAAAAGTTGCAACTATTCACATCGTGTCTGTACCTTGCGGGTTTAATAGCCACATTTTTGGCCTCAGATATAACTCGGAAGCAGGGAAGAAGAGCGACCATGTTGATTGCAGGTTTCATGTTCATTGCTGGAGTTGCCTTCAATGCTGCTGCTCAGAACTTGGCTATGCTCATCATTGGCAGGCTCTTACTTGGCTGTGGAGTTGGTTTTGCTAACCAGGTTCATTCTTCTCACACTATATTTATTTCTTCCTTCACAATTCAAATTTTAATATTTTTTTTTTACTCCCCATCCATATCCAAATCAACACTCTTATTATAAACTATGTGCAGACAAGGTATGAAGAATAGAATTCTTTTTTAGAGATTAATAGTGTGTAAGTTTAAAGAATTGGCCGCTAAAATAATTAGAAAATAAATTTAAATTTAAAATAGTTAAAACCTGATATAGAGATTGATTCAATGACTTTAGAAATCTATTCCATAATAATAGGGCACAATTTAAAGAGTACAATCCTTAATTAGTTTTATTAAATAGTTTCTAAATCACTTATTTTGCACAATAACGATTTTTTTTTCTCTAAATCAATTTCTAGTCAATAAGTCATACTGTCCTTATAAATACTTGAATGATGCATTATTTTTTTCTTAAGTAATTTTAATATTAACTGAAAAAAAAATTGAAATGAATGATATAAAATTTCTTCTCTTACGTGATTTCAGAATAAAAGTTTAAAGTCTCTATCAATTATTATAGTCAACCACTTCAGCTTTAAATATAATGAAAATATAAATTATGGATAAATTTATTATTTTAAAATAGATTAGTTAATAGTCATAGAAATAGGAAGGAGGAAGTAGAAATTGAAATTTTTTTTGGAAAATTCTGCTTCAAGACGTTGACATAACATAACGTCCCATGTGAAGGAAAATTCGTATTTGTTTCAGCACGTTCTTTTATAATTGCTTAAATAAAGCTAAGGTTTCATTTTCCTGTGGACTTTAAAATCAGATATCATCATATACGTGTATGTTCGTAAAATTATTTCAATTAACTATTTAGCAAAAGTAAGTGAACAGTGTTTTATATTAAATATTTATATTTAAAGCAAATTAATAAGCATATCTTGAGATATTTGTCTGTTATTTACATTTATATTGAAATTCACAGTTTTTTACAAATAAAAGTAATTAACATCAAAGAAGCTTGAATATATATATATATATATATATATATATATATATAATTAAACATGCCTTAAAATTAATTTTTAAATCAAAACTAAATTTTCAATGTGAAATGAAAACAGTAGCTACAATGAAACAGTATTAGTATCTGTTAACGTAAAAATATTATTGTTGGTAGAAACTTAAAAAGCTGACGTGAGACATTGACATATTCATTATGTTCCTTAGTTCAAGACAAAAATAGGTTCTGTAGTTTTTTAACACTGAGTGGTGTATATATTATTGTAACCACAGATAGAGAACGTGGGCGACATATCCGACCAACCTAAAGAATTAAAATTTACTACGTAGAGATGAAATGATAAATATTAAAAAAATGTAGAAAGGGCATTGTCATGTAGCAGACATGAATGTCCCCACAATGATATGAATCTCCATGCTTCAATGGAACGCAAGTTTGTAGTAATTAAAAGCATTGGTACTAGTTTTTATAGGTAACTGTACCAAGGCTTTCCTTGGCACTCACTCCCAGAGTCAGTCTTAACCGTCTTTCTTCAAACTCCAACCTACCTTTTTTTTAGGCTTTAAATTGTTCTTTCTATTTGACAGGGAGATCTTTTGGATTTTCTCTCATTTAATTATATAAAATAGCTTACATTTTATGGCCTAGAATCTCTCTTTTTGACTTTTAAAGTGCAACCAAAACTTCAGCTTGTGCTGCTACTTTTTTTTTTTGCAGCTTACAAATTCTATTTTCATCTTATCCATATAACCATAAAACTAAGTCAATTTATAATGGAAAGAAGTAATTGACTGATATTTAATGGTATGAGGTGGAATACAGGCCGTGCCAGTTTTCCTTTCAGAGATCGCCCCTTCAAGAATACGTGGAGCATTGAATATACTGTTCCAGTTGAATATCACCCTTGGCATTCTCTTTGCCAACCTCGTCAACTATGCCACCAACAAGTAAGTTTCCTCTGTGCATGCTTCCAACATCGTCCTTTTTGTTGAATGAATCATGTGAGTTGTGCTGGTCAAAATTTGAAATTTGAGGGTTTAATTGGCGTTCTATTCCTAAGAGGTTCTGCTGCATAGAAAACCAACACAATTAACCATTTTGATTACTCTCTCACGTACCCAAAGTCAAGCACATGCTTCCTTACTCTGCTTAGTGTTTTGGGCCTTTTCAAAGAAGAAGAAGCAACTCGAGCAAAACAAGTATATAGAAACAACAAATTTTCATTCATGATTTCATGAATTGCTTCTTTCCTATGAATCTGGGCTTGGTAACCCATTGCTTGATTCGGGGCCCCAGAAATGATAACTTTGCATAATGGTTGGTAAGTGTGAAAATTTGAACTGACCAAAAAATTGGAAAATATTATGAAGGAAATATTAAATGTATTTTATGACGAAAATATTAAAAAAGGAATATTAAATATTTTAAAAACTTAGGAAGCATTTAATGCTTTAGTAGTGTAGTATAAAGATTTTTAGCAAGATTTTTTTGATAAAAATATTTATATCAAGATTTAGAACTCTCCGGGTTAATAAGCTTTCAATTTTTTAATACTAATATAGTAAGAACTCATTTTACGTACCTAAAATCGTAAAAACAAAATCCTGCAATCTAGAATTCAGTGATAGAAACTGCAACTTAATGGATTCTCATGCAAAATCATTGGCAATCTGTTCTGTATAATTGAGTTCTAAAGCATGTGCCATTTGTTTTTTCTTGATTTTGTTCATTGTTGGTGATGCTGAGTATTGTTGAGAAACAACAGAATCAAAGGTGGGTGGGGTTGGAGGCTGTCTCTGGGTTTGGGTGGTTTGCCAGCAGTGCTTCTGACCTTGGGGGCTTTCTTGGTGGTGGACACCCCAAACAGTCTCATTGAGCGTGGTCACTTGGAAGAAGGAAAAGCTGTGTTGAGAAAGATTCGTGGCATTGACAACATTGAACCTGAGTTCTTGGCGCTTGTTGATGCAAGTACTGTGGCTAAAGAGGTCAAACACCCTTTCAGGAATATCCTCAAGCGTAGGAACCGACCTCAACTCCTTATTTCCATTGCCCTGCAGGTCAGTGCTGTCTTCCCAAATACTTTCTTGTTAGTAAATTTGTTCTGGTGCCAACTTGCATTGATTTGGTCCCTAAAAATTTAGATATATATATATATATATATATATAGTTTAGTCTTTGAATCTATCAACTTCAGTCCTTTTTTATTTTGTCAACTTTGTGTCTGTTTAGTTTGTTCTTATATGATTAAACAGTGTATAGAAGTATGAAACTCTTACGTTCTAAGTAAGTTTTTAAAATTCAAATTCTAAGATAGAAATTATTTTAATCATCAAGAGAAGTCTAGTCTTACCATCATCATGCTTCGTGTAAAAAGAGTGTATTGAGAATTATTCATTCACTAATAATATAATGAAAATGAAAATGAAAAATGAAAATGAGTATCTCTGTCATGTTTTCATTTTCGTTTTTTAGAAGTGTGTAAATCATTTTGAGAGACCAAATTCCATACACACAAGCTTTCAAGGACCAAATTGTTGCAACTTTTGGTACAAAATTGTATATTCACTCTTTTTGTAACACAATTGTAATAATGTTATTGTTTGGTGCATAAGTATGATCAATTGAAATTTCCTAATTGATCTGATTCTTTTCCAAAAACAGGTTTTTCAGCAGTTTACTGGCATCAATGCCATAATGTTTTATGCCCCGGTTCTGTTCAACACATTGGGGTTCAACAACGATGCTTCTCTCTACTCTGCTGTGATTACCGGTGCCGTTAATGTCCTCTCCACTGTTGTCTCAATCTATTCAGTGGACAGACTCGGGCGGAGAATGCTGTTATTGGAAGGTGGAGTTCAGATGTTCTTGTCTCAATTTGTGATTGCAATTATTATCGGAATGAAGGGGAAGGACCACTATGTGGACCTCTCGAAGGGTTTTGCAGTGTTGGTGGTTGTGATGGTGTGCATTTTTGTGTCTGCATTTGCATGGTCATGGGGGCCACTTAGTTGGCTTATCCCAAGTGAGATCTTCCACCTAGAGACTCGCTCAGCGGGGCAGAGTATTGCTGTATGTGTCAACTTGCTCTGCACATTTGTCATTGCACAGGCCTTTCTCTCAATGCTGTGCCTCTTCAAGTTTGGTATCTTCTTGTTCTTCTCTGGATGTGTCTTGGTCATGTCCGCCTTCGTGCTTTTCCTGCTCCCCGAGACAAAGAATGTCCCCATTGAAGAGATGACAGAGAGAGTGTGGAAGCAGCATTGGCTGTGGAAGAGGTTTATTGAAGAAGATTCTGCTAAAGCAGAGAAAGTAGTCACTGGCAATTGACCAAGTGGAAGAAGTAAGAGTGTTCAATAATTTAATCTGCTTCTCAGATATAAATTAGACAAATTCTGGCAATAGTTTGGTTTATCAAAATTAGTATATTAGACTCTATGGAGTGTTTGGTTAGATTTGTTTGTTACAGCTAACCAAGTTATTATTCCCACTTTGTTAGTGGCATCTGTCTGTAAGTAACACTGTAATGCCACTTAATTGTCCCGTAATGCCAAGTTATATAACACGTGTCTATGTTGGTATTTTTTTTTTCTCCTTTGTTGACTTTTTTCAGAAAACAAAAGCCTATTCCTATCATATTGTTTTTCTTTAGGGTTAAATAGTTTTTGCTAATTCTGTTTTTTTCTTTATTTCCTGCAACAACGAATAGGATATGTTAAAGGGTGATTCTGATGCAATAGCTTCAGATTAGAAGTGGAAAAATGTAGTATAACCAACACATAAATTAACGAGCATTAAGTTTGACGCATGGTTGGTGATTAGTGGTAGGAGTCATGATGTATTTTATTACATTGCACCAAATATGAATTTGTAAATCTTCATGAAGCAATTTGTTGGAAAAATACAATAAATTAGGTTATACCAACCTCTAGAAAGTCAATAGATTGAGGGGAGTTCAGAATACTAACATCATGAAACCTGGATTACGTTATTACTTGTGAATTCGGTACATTTGGTGTTGATTGGTGGCAGGCAGCCTAGAGAATATTAGGTGAAGCAGGACCTCATTTTGATTAGAGTCAGAGTTTAATTGTGTGACTGTGATGAGTTTCTTCTAACAGTAGCTATCAATAAGACACGTATCTGCATTTAGAAAAGAATTATTTGGGCTGTTTAACTTATTTGTATTGAGAATTACTGATACCAAAAAAATGATAATATATCTTTCAATTGGAGGTTGTTTAAAGTGAGTGTGATGCTTCTCTGATGTGCAAAGTAATGTGATCATCCAAAGGAAACAATGTATGGTGGTTGCCATCTATAATGACAGTCACCAAATTATTTGTTACAAATGAAAATAAAAAAGTGGTAATCGCGGCACCCACAAGTTTTTGTAGCAGATGAAATGCAGTAGCAGCAGGGGCCAAATAGTTGGATTTGAATATCAAGGATTTAAAATCATACCAATACTCAAAATTTGATCAAATGTGACCTTCAATTTAATCCGTGTTTTTTATTATACTACTTATAATTAGTTGCTTGCTCTTCTGTACCGTACAATAATTGTCAAAAGCGATGAAAGAGTTGAAAGTATCAGATACTTGTCATATATATTTTATCTAAATAATAAATCGAACTACTTATTTATAACTACTAATTGTACGTGTTCTAACGTTTTCGCAGTTTGCAATGTAAGTAAACGTAAAAGCTGGCATTTGTTAGATTAGCAACGTTAGAAGAATTCAACACTTACTCCATTTTAGTTACATTTTCAGTGGTAGATGGACATAACATAAGATACCAAAAGCAAAATAGGACCAGTGAGTGGAGCACTTATTACTTAGACCCACCCCTACTATGCAGACCATCAAGGCAGTGACATTAATCAGATTATGTGGGCCACATTTCCCTTTTCTAAATACTACTAATGGAGATGAGGTTTTCATCAAACACGACAAAACCATTTAATTAAAGAAAAATAGTGGGACCAGTTCATCCACTTTGCCATTCTTCAAGTTCCAACATCCAATGCCTTCAATGCTAGTTAGTAGTCAAAAGGGTATAAAGACCCCAACCTCATGAATAAGAGAAACAAACAACAAGAAGTGTCTTTAGTTACTTTTGCAAGGCTTCAAACCATGGGTTTGGTAGAGAGAAGTTTGGCTTGGTTCATGGTGATGGCAATTGTGCAGGTTTCATATGCAGCTGTATACAAGGTTGGGGACTCAGCTGGTTGGACTACCCTCGGCAAAATAGACTACAAGAAGTGGGCTGCTACCAAGAACTTCCAAATTGGTGACACTATCAGTAAGTTTCCTCACTCCAAATCCAATTGCATGCTTTGTTTGTGGAAATTGTTGGTTTTGGTTCATTTTGGGAATGGAAAAAACGTCCTTTTGATAGTTCTGCATCCTCTTCTCATACTGATGAGAATACAAACAATACTAGCTGTTACGTGATACCCTTTCTTTTTTCTCGTAAGAGGCAGGGCTAAGAACACAATTTTTAATACATTTCTTCACACAGTTTGAATTGTTACCTTGAAATTCGAAAATTTTGCATGAAACTCATCATATAAGAGTAGAAAGTCACAGAAGTTTGTGTTTTTAAATATTTCAGTCTATTGTTAAAAAAAAAAAATGTAAGAAAATATTTTTCTATTTTATCTCTTTCTAGCAATGCGGAGTTGGGTGTAGAAAACTTCAATTACTTATTTTCTTGTTTTTTCATCAAGTACCCCACCATTGCACTTCCATGGCAAGCGTTTCTATTTTTAGTTTTGGTTCTCATTATTATGAAAATAAAGTATGTGTTCAGGGAGGGCCCCTACATAAAACTCTTGGTTTTTGCATTTCTACACTTTTTTTGTTTCTTTATGGTTTTCATTCGTATATAAGAGCCCTTTGTACAATATTGTTTCATGACGATAGTTGTAAACTAGCATGACCCACCACTTCCACTCGCATTACTAACCTTTTGTGCTCTGGTGCTCTGCACGAGTTCTTTTGGATGAAAAGACAAAACAACATGCAATGAGATTGTTGGCCTCACCGCGGACATTTACATAGCATATTTCATAACACATTCAACTCAAAATCATTATAGAGCACAAATGGCCTTTACTTAATTATGATTATTAGTACCAACATAACTACATGACTCAAATTGTTTTGTATTTTTAGTATTTGAATACAATGACAAATTCCACAATGTGATGCGAGTGACGCATGCGATGTACAAGTCATGCAATGCATCATCCCCTATTGCAACCTTTACCACTGGGAATGACACCATCAACATAACCAATCATGGCCACCACTTCTTCTTCTGCGGCGTCCCTGGCCACTGCGAAGCAGGACAGAAGGTTGATATAAACGTGCTGAAGGTTTCTGCTGATGCACCTACTCCATCAGCTTTGGCCTCCCCAACAGTGCAAGCATCCAATGTACCTGCACCTTCTCCTAGCAATGCTGCCCCATTGATTGCTCTAAAGGGAGCTTTTGCTATGATGAGTTTGGCAATGGCAATAATCCTATTACTTACTTTTTCTAGCTATGTTTAATAACAAAGGGTTATGCTTAGTATGCTTTATGGACTTCTTTTGGTTTTCTTCTTGTATTGAAACTGATCGAAGGCATTTCTGCAACTCCTTTTCCAAGATCATTGGCACGTTTGTAAACCATTTTGAATGACCAGAAAAACATATATTAGATATATTACAACGTATCCTTCCTATAATTTTACACATTAAACATCTGGACAGGAGTTTGATTATTACGTCCAAATGTATTAAAAAAATTGTTGAAAGAAGTCCAATTTCTTAGATAAATTTCATTATGTTGATAGATTAGTTTTTATTTTATTTTATTTTTATCAAGAATACTTTGAGTTTACAGATTTGTATTTAGGATTTTATGGGGTTAGGATTCTGTGAATTTAAGGATATGGGTAGAAGTAAATAAAAGTGTGATTCTATAGTGAAAATATGATATATTCCCTAAATTTAGAGCACAAAAATTTATCTTCGTTTTTGAAGAAGAAAAAGGTAAAGAGAGGGTATGAATGCATGCATCCATGATCACGACAAAGGTCCTTTTTGTTGCAGTAGGAGCCTCACGGGGACCAAGTAACGCAACAAAGCGTGCTCTGCGAATAATGGTTGTAGGTTGATCTGATAATAACTGCTTTGTTAGGCCAGTGTTTGCTTCAACACGCTAAGGCACCACTTAAAGTCAAGAAGACAAAAAGTTCATTACTCAATTCATTCAATTTAAGGTTTTGTTTCTAGTTTGTGGTTTCTGAAATATCATTTACAAAGTAGTTAATTTTGCTTCACAATTAAAACAAACAACTCTATAGTCCAGTTCTATCAAATATTACCAACTAATTAAAAAGGTGGCTATCACAACCATCACCTAAAGATATTGTACGTTATTGAAAAAAAAAAAAAGCTTACACAATAGAAGTTAATGAAACACTGGTATTTGATTATTTACACCACTTGATTATTACCAAAAAAGAAATAAAAACTTAAATTTCCCTATTCTTCCTCAGTAAATCAGCTAAAGAGGAACAAATAATTTCTTGTTAACTTCTATAGCGATGCTAAATTGTGTGACGTGAAAAAGTGATTACTCAATTAGGGCTTGTTTCTCGTGAAATTTCGATCGATTCCGATTGTTAAAAGGTTTTGATTCTAATCAAAATTTAACCACGCAAGTTCTTTTTTACTTAGGCTAGCAAATTGATTTTCAATTGAAATGCATATGAGAATCGAAGTTTACATAGTATCGAAAATGCTGTTTTTGGTATTTTATGTTTAGAGTGTTCAAAGTAAACAAAGCAATAGAAGCGTCGAATCGAAAAGCAAAACGAGAAAATTGAATTGCCAAGAAGTAAAAATGCATAAACCTTAAATTTGCATTAAATGACAAGAAATTGGAGTAGCGAGAATGTAAATGACAGGAAATCGAGATTGCAGAAAATATAACTGGCAGGAAATCGAAATATGCAAAAAATGTAAATAGCAAGAAATCGAGATTATAGAAATGTAAATGGTAAAAAGCTTAAATGCGGAAACTTAACTTTCATTAAAGGAAATGACAAGGAATCGAAAGTACAAAAACTTAAAGTTGCTAAAGATAAATTGCATCAAATTAGATTGCCAGGGAAAATAAAGAAAGTGGTAAAGGTACTCAATGAGCATGGAAATCCAGATCGCCAGAAACTTCATGATGTTCGTCATTTTCCGGTAAACTTCTCACTAGTATTTCTGTTCTCTGCCAATTTTTCCACCCCCCTTTTCCTTTTCATCTTTTGCTTTATTTATAGATCATCTTTCAAGTAGTCTCTTAGGAGCAGTTAACAAAACTGCTACCACGTTCTTCGTGCGTGTTGCGATTTCTTTTCCTGTGGTGTTAAAACCGCACCCACGTTCCCATGATCTTCGACCTCTGCCACGGTTAAAAAACTGCTTCCTATCTGCGTGTTTAACTATTCTTCTCTTTATGATTTGGCCAATGTTACGATATCCTCGTAAGTTAATCTTTCCCTCAATTTTGATTTTAAGATCTCGAGAACTTTGAATTGTTTTCGATTCCTTTTAACCTTAACGTCATATACTTCTAATTTCTTGGTTTTTATTCGACAATAGACATTTAACTATTATTCCTTCGATTCTTGATTCTACCTCTCGATTTTATGTGCCACGCACTTCTAATTGAACATCGAATGGTTTCTCATCCATCTTTTTGATTTATCAATAAATCACATGTTTCTCGATTTTTCTTTCCTTCGTTTTTCGATCACTTTTCTCGATTTTTCACTAACAAAATGCCCCCCTTGAAAGAATATAAATAATTTCCGTTTATATTCTTTCAACATTCCCGCCTTGGTGTTTGGAGGCCCACAAAACTTGGGGTTTAGGGTTTTTGGGGTTTTAGGGTTTACAGGTTTTTAGGTTTCTTTTTACTTTATGTCGCCATCGCATCAGTCTGCTGCCTTACTGCACGCGCCACATTAATTACCCTTCGCCTCCGACGTTTCCAGTACCTTAGGTGGCTTTTCCTTTAAACTCTTTATTAGTCTTTTACCCTGGTTTTTTACGCGAACTTTTACTCCTTGCAATCTTCATCTTCTACCTTGCGCCTCTGTCTTTCAACCTTACTACTTCGCCTTTTGCCCTCTGTTCTTCCATTCTACCAGCTTATTGAAATGACAACCTCATCCAAATCTTCTGACTTTTCAGCCCCACCCCTTCCCTCGCTGGCGTCTAGCCTTCTGGAGGTCAACAATCAGAAGTTTGCTCCAGTCCCTCTAATGGAGGAGGCTTCCTAGAAGGTCGCTGAGACGCAGATACTCATCCCTTATATTGCTGAACATGTGCATTATGCTTTTGGGGGCCCTATCCGCTCTTGTGGCGGATCTTTTTCTTCCCTTAATCTTTCCCCAAATAGCCAGACTCTCGTTCACCAATCTGAAGTTAGGGTTGATTTTTTAAATCTTGCCGCTAAAGTATATCGAACAGGCCCCTCTTCCAAAAAACCTTTGTACATTAGATGGTTCGATAGAGTTAAGACTAAGTTCGGGAATCATTGGAGAGACGTGGGAATTTTCGATTTCTTGCACTTGTCTCGATGTGACTTGTCTCATTTGGATATGGCTATGTTTTTATCTGCTGTTCATCTGTGGAATAAAAAATTACACGCTTTGGAATTACCTTGCGGTCCCCTTTCGCCCACCCTGTTCGAAGTTGCTGCGATCATTGGTTTGAAGCCTTCAGGGGAAAAATATTTTAAGGGTGCATATCCCTCGGATAATTCCCTAAGATCCAAAATCGATTGGGAATCGAAAGCCTATGGACATTTCCTCGAGAAGCATTTCGTCGATGACGAATCAATAGACGTATGCGATGAAGAACACATAGCCTTTTTGGTGTACTTGGTTATGTACCCATGTTTTACGCCCTCGATCTATCCAAATTTTCTCCCACCTTTACAACCTTGCCTACCTCCTTCATACTGGCCGACCTAGAATATGTTTAGCCAAATTTTTGTTAGCCCATGTATATACTACTTTCGATGAGGTCTGTTGAAGTTTTGAGTACCCCAAAGCTTCGAGAAATTTTTACGGCCCTATTTGGTTTATACAATTATGGTTGAATTCGATTTTTGAGAGCATCCTTCCCCCAACTTCCACCATCCCCCCGAGTGTAAATGTAGAAGGTGCTCAATTGTCTTTTCGCCATCCTCACCACAAACCCGACGAAGCGACTTACTGTAGATACCTTAAATTTTTGTTAACTAGGTTTCATTTCGATTCAACTTTGGCTCCTTTTACTTGTGCATCTTGGACGAATCGGTGACCAACTTCGAGGGCCAACTTGGTTTAAGTCAAAATTCCCTACCTTAACTCCTGGGTTACAATCAGAGTTGGTCGATGTGTGGAGTAATTATTTAACTCAGGATATATTAGTATCGGGTTTCCAATCTAAGGATTTTAGGTTTATCACTTACTACCCCCAACTTTTCTCGAGACAATTTGGCTTGAGCCAATCCTTACCTTTCTTCCCCCTTGATCCCTCCCCAAAGTCCAAGTTAAATGAATCGACAATCGGACGAGAGTTAACCAAACTACTACCACAAACCCCACTACTTTTTTATCCCTATGCTTTTGAATCAAATTATTTATCAACTGTGGGTTTCTCTCAATGGTGGGTCGATTGGTTCTCGAGTAATCATTCTGCTTTTGACGAAGTCCGACAAAAATTGACTGCTCATCCTTCTCTTGTGTTGCAGGACAAATCGAAAGCGAAGAAAGGTACACACTTCCACTGTCTTCAAATATCTCGATTCGAGAATTTTTATCAAATATGTTACAACCCATTGAAATTAGAATCGACTTTCTATGATGCTGTTATTTCCTTATCCCATAAAACAACCACCAATCGATCGAACCACAAAATAATCAATCCTTTAGGAAAAACCTCTTTTGAAATGTATTGTCCCAATCACCTTCCCACTTTTCCTACAACACCCTTTGGAATCGCCAAACCTTTAACTCATACCAAATGGGTTCGAGAATTGAGATCCCTAAGGGAAACACTTCGCCCAAAACCCAAAAACAAAGATATTTCTGTATCGAAATTGTCTTATTTCCCTTATCTCCATCTCCCTCAATTTCTCCTGCCTCCCTGGCTTGTACATATCGATCGAGTCACGATTTTGACTCCATTACCTTTTGGTGAGATTTTACTACCTTTTCATGTTTTTTAATTCTGTATATTGTAAGCTAACTGTCTTCTTTTTTCGACGGTTTCGAAGTCCACCAAGGTCGTCGCGTCGAGAAAGAGAAGGAGAAGGAACGGGAGGGCGAGAGTCCTCGGATGAGTCGGACCCATCGGCCTTCGTCAGAAAACGCAAACATTCAGCCACCATTTCCTCATCTTTGAAGAAATCGAAGGTTCTTTTCGATTTCTCATTGTTTTATTCATTTTTCTATGTCTATGGTTGATCCACTTTGGATTCTTATACCTATTTCTTTTCGATCTCTAATTTTCAGAAA